GGGCTGATATGGTGGCCTCTGGAAGCCCGGTGGTCCCTGGTGGACTGGTGGTCTGGGATTTGCCCCACCCCAGGAGAAGTTGGGGTGCTGGTGCCACCCCTCATTGTAGGTGTTACTGTAGGGGTCATTGCGCCTGACATTGGTGATGAAGTTCACCTGCTCCTAGGGTGTGGTCGATTCCTTCATCGCCTGGCAGTCTTCCACTGTATGATGGGTGCTCTCGCACCACTGGCAGAGCATCGCCTGCTGGTGTCCGGTACCTGCAATCATCCCGGAACGATCGATAGCTGAAACCAGCTTCAATACCACCTGCACCAAATCAGAGGAATGGTTTCCCACAGAATGTACACCTCGGCCTGGTGCTCTCCTCGACCTCCTAGCAGTGCCCCAATCATACCCGTTCTCTGCCATCTCCTCAAAGATTTGATTCAGCTGTGGCGGTGTTTTTGTCAGCATGTTCCCGCCACAAACTGAGTCAATCAGCTGCTTGTCTTCTGGGAAGAGGGCATGATAGAAGGTTCCCACCTTGAAAGCATCGTTGAAACCATGATTGGGACACCTCAGGAAGAGACTGTTGTATCTCTCCCAAGCATCCCAGATGGTCTCATCTTCATCCGGGGTGAAGTGGGTGATCTGCTTCTGCAAGTCCGTCGTCTTCGACGGAGGATGGTAGCGGGTAAGGAACTTGTCCGCCAGGTTGGCGAACGTGGTGATGGAGCCTGGAGGTCGAGTGTCTAACCACTCCTTGGCCTGCCTCTCCAGGGTGAATGGGATGTACCTCAGCTGGATGGCATCTGCTGGGACCCCGTTGATCTTGATTCCATCGATGAGCTCGTGGAATCGCCTGAGATGTGATCGGGGGCACTCTCCCTCTTTGCCATGGAACACCACTGAACCGCGCAGCATGGTGATTACTGAGGTGCTCACCTCGAAATTATTGGCTGGGACATGAGGGTGTTGAATGGGTGACCTCATGTCTGCAGCCCTAGTGGTCCAGTAGGATCACATGGTCTGCTCCCCAGGATTGACCACATCATGGTCTTGTGGATCAGCCATCTCCTCCTCTTCAGTGATCTGTAGCTGTGCTAGCGCCTCCTCCGTAGACAGTCGCGCCTTTAGAGCCCGCTTGAAGTTTCTGCAGGTTCGTTCAAGCTCCTGGTCTAGTGGTAGTAGATCTCCCGACTGGCTACGGGTCATGCACTACCTGCACACAATCAGCAGAAACAACCCGTGAAGGCACACAGGTGGAAGAGATAAAATGCAGTAAATAAAAAGCTAGAGTAACAGATTTTCACGTTTCCCCAATAACCTAGAGGGTTCCCCGGCAACGGCGCCAAAAACTTGACACGCCAAAACACAACACCAATCTGCGACCAAGTGCAATCGCAGACCGGGAATGCAGTAAAGTGGCAAGTTATATTATCAACCCGGGGTCTAGATCTACTGCTTACTCAGTGATTATCTATTATCTAGCCAACTAAGTTAAGTGTTTGTTGTTTAAAAGCAAAAGCAGAAAGAAAGCAGGAATTGGTACGGTTTTCTCAAGCAGGTAAGAGTAACTCGGGAATGAGTCCCCCTAGATCCTTAGTTAGGTTTCAATTGTATTTCCCTGGGTTGATTTACTGTTGATTATACTGCGGAAGATCCGACAGTAGCTTGGAATCTCTTAAGCTAACCAAGCCCTCTCAGTCTAACTACCCGGCAGACGACTAGTCTTCACCGGGATAGAAAGCCGAAGCAGTAAGAACAGAACTCCACTACTAGAATTGAATTCCAGTACAAAGCAGTAAATTGGCTAACTCTCGTATAGCCAATCTCCTACTACCGAATGATGAGACTCTAGCAACCTAATCAGATTCTATCTATCTCAGATTGCAGCAGGAATCAGGAAAAGTTGATCAGACTTCAATTGACTCAATAAACATGCATCATTCGATTAAAATCAAACAGTAATATCATCCCAAGTCATTACAATCAAATCCATAACACATAGAACTAGGGTTCTTCATACCCAAGTGAGATAAGGGTTCTACTCCATAGAGAGAGAGAGGAAAACAAGGTACAAAGCAGTCATACTCATTACAATGGGAAGAATCTCCTCTGGGATGATGATTTCCACTCCTGTGACAATCTCCAAGCTCGATTTGATGAAACCCAGCTCCAAGATAGCTTCTAGGATGTGTTCTTCGTACTTTCTCTCTCTAGGGCTCTGTTTTTGCTCAAAAAGTCTGATCCTCTCTCTTGCAGCCCGAAATTGGGTTAAAACCAGGAATTCCCGACTCACACGGGCAGGACCACACGGCCGTGTGGCATACCCAGTTGCCCGTGTGACTTCAAAACGCTGCGTCCCGATTAATTGCACTTCAGGCTTCCTACACGGCCAGGGTCACACAGCCGTGTGGATCACCCTGCCTGGCCGTGTGAAGCCTCGCATAATTCCACACGGCCAAACCACTCCTTCACACGGCCGTGTGGATATCAGGGCAAGCCGTGTGAAGGCTCGCACAATCTCACACGACCAAAGTGGTCACTTGCACAGCCGTGTGAGTTGTGGGTGTGCCCGTGTGGCTTCCTTTTCGACTTGCCTCGTGCCCGATCTTCGTCCAATCGACCCCGAACTCGCTCCAAAACCTTCATTCACTTGCTAGGACCTGAAATATCACAAACAAACACAACCTAGCGTGAAATCGGCCTAAAACACGAGAATTACCATCCCAAACGGCTCCAGAATAGGGGTAAAAACATGTGCAATTAACGGCTTATCAGCCTCACTCACTCAAGTGGGGCACCTTGGATAAGGTAACTTAGTGCTTTCCTCTTTCTCGGTAATGCTTTTCCTCCTTATCCTTGACCTACTGAATCCTTGACGTCCTTTGAGACTCTCTATAACCTACTTACTTCCTCCATTGCTTCATTCTGACGACCATATCGTTGCTTAAGGTTTAAAATTTCCACTACCCCTTGTCACTGCATCGTAATAGCATCATCCACTAACACCAATTGTGTGGTTCTTTGTGGCGCCTCTTCGTTTCTTGTTCATTTCCTTCTTGCCCCTCTTAGGGTCAAGGACCCTAAAATCCTCATTGCTGCTAATGACGTTATATACTTCTCGTTGTAAGGTATTAACCTCCTAGAACATAGCTCTTGGTCCAATGTTGACCACGTTCCTTGCATACTTCCTTTCCTACTGATAATCTCCATACACCTCAATCTCATACTTGAAGTCCCGCCACATTTTACTAAATCATCCCCTAGGTTATTCTTAAACCAATTATACTCTCGTGCTACCTTCCCATAGTGTCATGCTGTAATTGTTAATCACCTTAATATGATTATAGTAGACTAGAGATTCTATAAACTCTTAAAAGAAAATCATTGACTCATTTTCCTTTCCTTCAAAACAAAAGCCTTCTAAAATTGGGATCGATATTCCACTATTCCTTTGAGACCAAGGAACAGAGGAAGACCGGCTCTGATACCAAAATGTAACACCCTAGTTCGGCCGGAGACTACTTTTATTAAAATACCCTTGATAAAGTGTGAATCAAAATTTGAACTAAAAAAGACTTGGAAAAAAAATAACGGAAATCTTTCATAAATAACTTTAATCATATTAAAATTAAACTGACATATCTTAAAACAAAGCACTAACACTTTGGCAAACCTCAAACATAGATTGCTATGGCCAGTCCCGTGGATTTATTTGTTCCACACAGCTCTCAAGGTATCATCTTCTCGTCGTTGGGCTCTGCCTCTCACTCCATCTCCAGTACGCTCTTCTCTTCGTTGGCGGAAGGAGTGACGTCGGGATGCGGTTGTCGGGATTAATTTTGCGAGAAGAAGAAAAAGAAAGGCAAGCTGGGGTTTCTGGTGGTAGGGAGAAGAATAGCAGCGGGAATGGAGTTCTCGTGAGAAAGAAACCCCAAATGTTGCGGCTCTTTTGGTTTAGGTTAGGTTTTAACGGGCACCAGGGGTACTTTCAGAACTATTTGCTTAGGGTGAGTTTGATCCAAAACTAGGCTAACGTCCGTAACTTTCTCATTTTATACTGAAATTCGATACCGCTTGAACCGATAGTTCACTTTTTTTGTCCTCATCCGTATTACGGTGGAATTTGACAAATTTCCCAAAGAGTATAACAGTCATTTTAACCTTTAAAAAGAGCAGGGTGTAACAGGGTTTGTCACCTTCCCTCCATCTTCTCGACCCTCGGCAGTGTCACGCTGTTTCACCATCGTGGAGTCCCTTTCGGAACTCCTCGTAACTTGAATCTCGGTCGTCTTGATGGATGGAGAGAGTGGAACAATGCACAACTCTCTACACTCTGATTGTCATGGAAACCAGGACTTCCAGTCCCATATTTTCTCTCCTCTTTCTTCCGGTAACGCCAATTCGTAATGCGATACAACGTTGATCTTTTCTCCTAGCCTTCAACCTTCCTGGGCTCGCTTTCTCGAAGCTCTGATGGTTCAGGGACCTTGTTCAGATTGCAGGTCGTGGAGGAGACACTCATGGCTTTGGATGAAGCTGTGAACATCAGTTTTCCAGAGGCTCCTGTTATAAACCGAACAAAATATTTATGGTTACCGAATCTGGCTGAGTCGCGGACTAGGTCACTCTATTTAAGACGTTCGCAGCACTGCCTCGTAATGCGCACAGCAGAATATCAATCGTTCGCCTCCAGGATAAAACAGCCACTCCAATTTTGTTACCCATCGGTTTTGTGCGAAAACCGAAGCTCTATGTATTCACTCTCTTTCGTGTTTCTGCTCTTCTTAGGTGTCTTTAGAGGGTCTAGGGGTCTGCTATTTATAAGACCAGAAAATCTAGAATATTCCCTCTTTCTTTGGGAATAAGCCACATTTTAATTAGGGAGATAATTACTCCCATAATAAAAATATAGTCTATTAAGATAATTAATCCTAATTATCTCCATAATTAATTTTTTATTTTTTTATTAATTATCCATCTTATTTTCATATTATGAGAAAATACTGAATAATTAATTATAAATTTCATTTATATCTTTTCAAAGCTATTCATCCAACAGCTACTACCCTATTTGTCGCAAAATCATTTGCTCCTTTGACGTCGGTGTTCTTAGCGACGGCGGTTCGATGCAGAGCAAGGGTTTGCTCGATCGTCTCTCACAATTCGGCTGGTGACGTTTGATGGTATCAACAATGCTGGGGGCGATGGTGACAGTCATAATGGGCAGCTTCTTCTCGATCTTTATAGCAATGGTTAGTGGTGGCGCTGGCGTATCTCCTGTGGGCGCAAGATTTGCCGCCATCAACTCATCCATTGTTGCCATTTCGAGCTTCAGCTTCAACTCCTTTGTGAGTTCTCTGAGCGAGAGTTCGAAGCTTGCCATAGCTTTGGTACGGATGCCTGCAACCGGGCTATGATACCACTATAAGAAACCCGCTTCTTAAGGCTTCTAGGGGCTGATCTTTGGCACCCGTGTTAATCGCAATAGATAGGGATTTAGGGATTGAGATTAAGAAATTAGGAATTTAGATAGAAGAATAGGGGAGTTAGGTCAAAGAACAGAATTGAGGAAGAACTAGAGAGAATGGCCGGCGCTTTGTGGGAAGAGAGGACGAGATTTGAGAGGGTTTTGAGAGTTATTAGGGTTGGAAATTATTCTCAATATTCTCCTTGCTTGATTATAACGTAACCTGGAAGTACATATTTATAGGAAAAATAAGGGAAACCCCTACTAAATAACCTAATTCGACTATATCTCTATATAATTATCCTATCATAAATAAATAAAGAAAGCCACAAAAATTGGGTTTCTAACATAACTCTACTTCGCTTGTTTGATGAAAAGAGAAGTACATATATGTAAGTTCTGCCTGTTATATCCAATCAGAATTTAATACATGAGTACAGTCGTAGAAACACATATATGGTTCATGAAACTTATTGCAACAAAAGTAAACGCGACCAAGGAGAAATTCGATCTTTGTGCAGCAAGCCTCTTCAGCCTCCACCTGGATAATGTCCTCCATGAGGCTGGTCATCTGATGATCACCATCAATTAGATTGAGTAATTAGATTTACGATGCAGGTTAGAACACTAACTAATCAGCTAGCTAGTCTGTCACATTTAGCTTACCAGGTATTGCTACAAACTCCAGTAGCTTTCTGGAAGCCACTGCTGGGACTGATAAGAGACTAAGGACCAACATGATCATGAACAACAGCAGTACTGCCACTACAGCTTTGGAATAAACCATACTTGGTCCTTCCATTGCCTTCTCTGAATAGCTCGTATATATCATTTTAGGCCCAGCTCGTCACCATTTATAGAGTCTGAAGTCTCTCCACCGATCGAATTGTCTTCATGAATTTCGTTTCTTTCCCTTTCACTTGCAACTACCCATAGTACCCAGCTTGAAACGGCATTGCTCGTCCCTTGCATGCACGCATCTGCAGACTACTTTAATTTATTTGTGCTGCAAAAGTCATCATGAATTGATGACTAGAGAAACTTTTGAAGATTTCAAAGTCTTGGTCATATGGGTGAATTAATAAATGAGATTTTGAAATGCATGCATGGTGATTGGTCATCCGAAGACTTGGCATATCTACAAAATTTCCAATTACGACGATCTCATAATATACTTGGGTACAGTAGTAGTTAGTCTGATTTAACATGCTAACAACTACTTTGTACTCACAAATAATTATTTCAACTAAATACTTAAAAGTATGCTCAATATTCAACAGAAATCTGGATCCTGTCGCGAGAAGGTATCTGTGATGGTGGTTGTTTGGGAATGCAGCCCAAATCCAAGACTAAATAAAGGTAGTGACGGAGCTAGAAATTCGAACGAGTGGGCTAACTTTAATTGTCGTAATTAGGGGGTGGGGTCAAAGTCTTACCGACTATTCTAATTCCTAAATTTCTGCACAATTTACATAAAATTTTACTTATATTTCAAAATTTAAGGGGCTACAACCCTCTTAATTTCAACCTAGCTTCACCACTAAATACAGGTGAGAGATCGATCAGGAATTACATCAAGAGAAAGAAGGGGGAAAACTAAAGATGAATCTTATGATAATATGGATATGATAACATCTACTGATTGAGTGTTAACATGTTTGCGGAAATATTTGTGACGACTATGTTCGTCGCAGAAGCTGAACTACCCTTCCCTTCTACGATGGATGGTACCTTTTGGCAACGATACAAATATTTCCGTCGCAAAACGCTGGGCGATATGGTATGTGGAAGGATTTTGCAACGACAAGGTGCCGTTTGTAGTGACAGGTCCTTGCAAACTCATTTGGCAACTTCATTCTAAGCAGGGATATACTGTTAACTCTATGCACAAATTAAATGGCTTACCTCTACAAAGTTTCCATGTAATTTGGATTTGCCCAATTAGAAAGGTCATTTGGTGTTCGCAGATCCCGCTCAAGGTGTGTACTTTTCTATGACTCGCTTACTAATGACGTATTCTAATTTAGGATAGTTTGCAACGTCGTGGGTGGCTACTCGCCAATAGATGCATCCTCTGTATCAAAGCCGAGAAGTCTGCTGATCATATTCTACTCCATTGTGATTATGCCAAAAGAGTAACAAGTTCTCTATTACCTATGGTGCTGGGATCATTCAGCAGTACAGAGAGCCTTGTTGAGATGGTTAAAGGGTGGTCATCATCAACACCCACTGCATGTGTGGCATGAATGGTTTAATCAATGTATTCTTATAGTTCTTGGCGGATTGTTACCCTAAGAATTGGATTCCAGTTTTTCCAATGCCTATCTGCTGCTGCTGGGGTGATTAATAAGCAGCAGGTGAAGATTTGTTGTCGGCTCTCCAAACAATAGTTCATATAATGAATCAAGCTTGATTTTTGGCCTATCCTTGTTTTGTTGTTGAACATGAGTCTTCTTTCACCTGTGTATTAGAGCACCCGCAGCAACTTTCAAAGACTCATTTCATTCTGACGTAGCATTCCACTTCCCTCTGTCATGGTTGTGGTGCCAATTTTAGAAAGTGGGATCTTACACTTAGTGAAATAGCAAATGGAGTAGCAAGTTGTTTGTCTTTTTAGGATGGAGACTGGGGAGTGGGCTCCATCCCACATTTGGTGATATTTTTGTCGTTTCCATTTTGTAATTTGAATTAAAAGAGAAAAATAGAAAGGCCATGTTTATGTTTGTGTACGTGATGTTGTTTGCCTTTTTTCAAATTATCATTTGTTTAAAATAAACAAAAGTAATATATTAGAAAATTCATTAAGTTTGGATTAATTAATTTTGTAGATTCTGAGAGTGTAATACGAAAATAAATTTCACGTATGCTTATATAATTATAAAGATGTCACAACTACATTCAAATACAAATTACATAACAAATCAACAATACTTAATAAAAAAGTATTTATTGTACTAATGACTTAATAACAAGTTTCATGTTATTTTATTACTCTACCCATTTTAAATGACATAATTTATTTAATTTATTCAATGATTAAAGCTATAATATATTTTTCAATGAATTAATATACTATTTTAATTATTTTAAACATCTTAAATTGGTAAAATAATATAGGTTAGATAAAATGTATAGTTGTATTAAAAAGTAAGTTGGACCCACCAAATGAAATAGATAGTGAATTTCATTGATGTAGAGGAAATTGAAGTGATATGTAGTGGAATGGAAAAAGCTATTGATGTGGCAGTAGGAGCCACATATGAAATAGAAATGGTATTTTATGGATGTGGATGGTCTTATGGTCTTCTTCTGTGTACTAGCAGGTAGGGGTGGAAATTGGGGTGGGTGTGGTTACCTACCCCACATTTTGCGGGTAACCACATCCACAAATATAGAATTATACTACCCACAACCCGCCCCACAGTGGGTAGTGGTTTACCACAATCCACTGCTGGTTGGTGCGGGTTGGATGTGGATACCTACAAAAAATTTCCTTCCTTAACCCTTTGGACTCGTATATGATAAACCTATCGGTCGAGTGACGGCAAAAAAAAAACACATTGAGTTAAAACTAAGTAAAGAAGCCCAAGACATGCAACGAGCAAAGATCCGATATTCGGAACCTCCTAAGTAGTCAACCTCCCTCTCCTCGGTTCACTTCACTCGCTTACATGTCACTTCACTTTCTTTAGGAAATGCATATTGATAACGAGTATGGATTGGAGGGGATCTAATCTTAATATACATAGCATCTTTATCAGCGACATGACTCCTTGCATTTTTAATTCGATTTTTTTTTGGATAAATAGAACTCTTTCCCGAGTTGCGGAATTAGCGTATTCTTACACAAAAACAAAAACCTACATAAAAGAAAGTTAATCAATAAAGTGTTAAATAAACTATAAACCACATTTATCGTCTTTGTTTTGTTATAAAATAAACATATACCACACGGATAATACTTATTTAATAAAAGTATCACATACGAACACGTTGTATTGACTTAGTTTTATTTTATAAAATAAGTATATATTTGATTTTGGAGCCTACTTTAATTTGTAGCATTCTACTTTTCACATACTTTAATATTAAAAAGTATTATTAATAAATAAATATAGATAGTGTGGTTATTGTGGGTTTTGTGGGTTAACCGCTATGGATAATGGTTAACCACTAACCACAAAAATCAATATTTTGCTACCCAATCCCAACCCACTATCCACAAATTGTGGGTATGATTACCCACAATGTATGCGGTTTGATGCGGTTTGTGGATTACCCGCAATCCGCAAACCAAACTTACACCCCTACTAGCAGGGGTCTTGTTATTTTTCCCCTTTTTCTCTTCGTTTCTTTACCCCTTCTCCTGTTACCAAACTTACACCCCTACTAGCAGGGGTCTTGTTATTTTTCCCCTTTTTCTCTTCGTTTCTTTACCCCTTCTCCTGTTTTAGTTTTACTTTTTATCTTCTTCTTTTATTCTATACTTCTTGTGCAGTTTGTTTTTGTTTATTGGTTCCCTCCTTTCCAATGTACATATCTCATTTTTTTCTCTTAATTGCGAATTTCACCTTCATAAAAAAAAATATCTACCGCACTCTAAATTCAATTCTTTGAAAATACAATAAAATATATAGTTTTGGAAAAGCCTCAGCTATCACAGGTGTACCACTCAGCATTCTCGCTAGCTACAACTGCTTTTCGAGGAGTTTCGAAACGCTCTGCATGCTCGACCTAAACTCTGAGATATTCATGATGCACGAAATGTCGATCCTCCTACCGCTGGCCAACGAATTCGAATGCATTAGAAGCTTCCATGGATGCTTTACCATCATTACTTCCAACACCATAACTCCAAAACTGTACATGATCCACCACAGCACTAGGAGTGGAGCCAAGGTTTAGCAACCGAGGGGCTCAAAGTTTCTTGATATTTTACCGCAAAGGTTAAAAAAATACTAATAATCAAATATTTAATAAGCTTATTTTATTTTTTTCGTTGAATCGCTAATTTTATTTAGTTATAACCACACAAAATACTTTTCACATTAAATTTATAACAAATCATAAAAATGAAAATAATCATGCATATTTAATTAATATGTTGCGACACATCTATTTTCATAACTAAAAAATGAATGTCTATCAATATCAATGCTTAGCAAACATATTCTTAATCTATATCCAAGCACCTATCTTTTAGGAAGCAACCCTTGTAAACATATGACCAGTGAATCAACAGATGTTGCCAAGACCGAGATATATGCAGGGATTTGTACCGTCAAGGAAAAAATATGTTTCCACATTTTTGAGATTTAGAAGCATAAAAGTGTAAGTTTTAAATTTTAAAATACGATTTTGCCTATATAGTTAGAAAAAAAGTGTGATTCTATGTAGAAGATTTTTTGGTGGGATATGTAGAAGATTTTTTGTGACCTAAAAGTGTCAAAACGTAAGATTTTAAACTTTAAATCACGATTTGGACTACGTTAGATAAGAGTATTGAGAACATCAAGAACCATGCATCAATGGGTCAAGACTATTTTTCCCCTTAATGAATGGCCAAAATTTGGTTGCAGACCGGGTTGCAGTCATCCGCTGCTACCCAGCCAGGTGGCACTATATGATTGGTTCAAATTGGTTAATTAATTATTAGCTTAATTTGGCCCTGCGGTAGCTTTTGCAGAAGTAGCTTCTGACTGGAGTTTTTAGATAAGTACTGTAAAAAAAAGCAGTTGAGTGTTTGACTGTAAAACTATTAGAAGTGTTTTTTAATATGAGAGGTTGTGTAAAATAACTATACAGGAATTATAATATAAAATATGAATAAAA